GGAGCCGTCGCACGTCCAGCCGCGTGAAGGGAGCGAGATCACGCCCCACCAGGAGGGAGCGGTGAAGCCGAGGTCGACGCCGATGTGAGCGTCGATCCAATCCGAGGGAGGTTCTGCGAAAAGCGAGAGCGTCAGTCCAAGTCGAGGACGAGGGAGCAGGCGGAAGACGTACTCCACCAGGAAACGCTGCCGCAAACGTCGACGAAGGCGGACGGGAGCGACCAGGAGGCGTCGCACGACCAGCCGATAGGAGGAGCCCAGCCGATGGACCTGGGGAGGCGGTCGAGATCAGCGAGTGAGAAGCGATGAAAGGAAGGAGAAAAGCGAGCGCACGAGCCAAACCAGAGCCAACCCGAGGGAGCCCACGACGGACGACCTTTACCTTGCCAGTCGATCGACCATCCGTCCTTGCCAGAGCCGTCGCACTTCCAGCCCTGCGCAGGGAGCGAGATCATGCCCCACCAGGAGGGAGCGGTGAAGCCAAGGTCGACGCCGATGTGAGCGCCAATCCAGGCGTCCGAAGGCTCTGTAGGACCATTGACAGTCAGTCGCAGTACCGCGAAGGCGGAAGGACTCGACTCACGCCACCAGGTTACCTCGTGAACGATGTTGAGGAAGAGCGAGGGAATGCTCCAGCTCGCTGAGCATTCCCAGCCGGCGGGAGGCGCCCAGCCGATGCTAGTACCGAAGTACAGCCAGCCTTCCGGAACCCAGAAAGGCCGTCCGAGACCGAGCCAGTCGACGCTGTAGCCGTCCTTGCCCGAGCCTGCATCGTAGGAATGTCAGCTTCCGGTCCCACGCCATCGTGGATGATAGTATGAGAAGCAGAGGGCGCACCGTCGCAGCGCCATGAGGCAGAGGGGCGGCTGCTGCCTCCGCCGAAACCGAAGCCGAGGCCGGAGAGGAGGCCAAAGGTGCGCTTGTCGTGCAGATGAGCGGGAGACTGGTGGTGCGGCTGAGAGTGCGCGTTCGCGGAAGCAGAAACGCCGAGGGCGCCTGCGCCCGCGACGAGGAGAACGGGCGTAAGCCGCATTAGGCGGCGGGGAAGGAGTGAAGGAGTGTGGGAAGGAGCGTGTGTGCCCGAGAGACGGGGTTGGCGGGAGGTATAGTCGAAGAGTGATGGAGAGAGGGGAGAAAGAGAGGGAAGAAGCGCGCGCTGAGAGAATAGCTCGAGCCGTCTTGTCCGGACGAGGGCGAGAAGCGCGGGAGTTCGAGTGTGCCGGCGCGCTGTCTGTCACGGACAGGTCCTGATGCGAGATCAGCGGCACGCCTGCATTGAGCGCGCGCACCGTGTCGATCATGCCGTACGATGGCCATTCAAGCAGGGAGAGCCAGAGTCTATCGCATCCTCGTCCGTCACGAGATGAGTCTAGCTTCGGAGACATGGGAGTCGGGCACTGTCCGTACGCGAGTCCTGAGCGGCCACACGAGTTGCCTTCGATCAGTACGGCGAACGCTAGCTGTATTGTCAACGGGGGGTGCGAGCGAGAGGACGAGGAGATAGTGTCGTCCGGGCGCAAGATGGGAGCCGGCGGAAGCCCGTGAGCGGTCGGTTTGCGGTCGCTAGAGCATCGACGAGCGTCCATTGAGCCCGTCCAGCTATCGTGAGTATGTAGTCGCCGGTCAAGGGGTGCGAGAGGGAAGGTGAACGGGTCGAGCTCTTCCCGTCCGCTCACGACGCTCGAGAGGCGTTCGAGCGCACTGCTACAGACTTCAGCGATGCCCACAATCGCTCCTCCAAGCCGCGCGAGCCTTCACCACACCTTCACTCTCTTCAGCCATTCTCATCGCTCAACTCGAGGGCCAGGTCAGGATGGAGGCGACGACGACTTGCGGAAGTGGCGGCGGGACGTAGGACGTGCGAAAACTGTCTGTGAGGCAGGTTGAGCTTGCTTCTGAGCCCACTCGAGCGGGTCACGACTTCCGCTCCTCCTCCCCACTCGGGTCCTGGCAAGATGTGGCGCCTCTATCGCTCGCAGCGAACTCCTGCTCTCCCTGCTACCACTCACAGCTCACGATGCAGACTGCCGAGACCTCCGCCAGCGCCCAACGACCCGCCCTCGATGGCACACGAAACCCGCTCATTCGCGACGCGGAAACCAACCTCATCCTGCCGCTCGGGACCTCGCTCCGGTCTATGCTGGCCATGCTCGATGACTTGAAGGCTTTGCTGGGCGAGGAGAACGTCCACATTGATTCCGGCGAGGGTGTCGCGGCAGAGGGGCTGTTCCAGGACGAGCAGACCGGGTGCGTCCTCCTCGTCTGCTTCTTTTCCAGTCCTTCGCTGACTTCGCCGCCTTGACACACAGCGGCATCTTCACCGACGGCCACGACACTCAACTGGACGACAAGTTTGCCACCTCCGTCTGCATCACGCCCGGCTCGACGGCTGAGGTTCAGGCGATCGTCAAGCTCGCCAACAAGCACGGCGTGCCCATCTCGCCCATCTCTCGTGGCAAGAACCTCGGCTACGGCGGTCGTTCGCCCCGGTTGAGCGGATCTATCGTCGTCGACCTAGGCAAGCGCATGAACCAGGTCCTCGAAATCAACACGACCGACTACTACTGCGTTGTCCAGCCTGGTGTCTCGTACTTCCAGCTCTATGACGAGATCACGAAGCGGGGACTCGAGAAGACCGTGATGATGGACTGCCCGGACTTGGTGAGTTTCGCTCTTCTCCTCATCGAAGCCTGGCTCACGCTGGCTCCTGCAGGGCTGGGGCTCAGTGCTCGGCAACACAATGGATCGCGGCGTCGGCTACACCCCCTACGGCGACCACTTCTCCCAACACTGCTCGATGACGCTCGTCCTCCCAAACGGCGAGGTCTTCAACACGGGCATGGGCGCAGCAGGCGCCGACAACGCCTCGCGCTACCTCTTCAATTACGGGTTCGGCCCGTACATGGACGGGATCTTCACCCAGTCGAATTATGCGATCTGTACCGAGATGGGCGTCAACCTCGCGCCGCACCCCGGCGGATACCAGAGCTACCTGTGCGTTCCAGCTTTTCGTCCGTCCTTATGCAACGCTGACGTCGACTTTGGCTTGCAGCTGGACTTTCGAGAACGAGTCGGACCTCCCGCAAATCGTCGAGCTCATGCGACCGCTCCGCATCTCCGGCGTTTTCGGCCACGTCGCGCAGCTCCGCCACTCGCTCGTCGACATCGCCTGTCTAGGAACGTACGTTGCGCCCTTGTTGGAACAAAGCCGGAGAGATGCTGACTGTGCGAGCGTGCAGGATGAACGACTTCTTCCCCGGCCGCGATACCGCCAACTATCTCAGCGACGACGAGTTTGTCGAGTTTGTCAAGACCAAGTTCAAGAGTCAGGGCGTGTGGAGTGTGTTGACATTCCGCTGAACCTGGGCGTGACGAGCGTGGCTGACTTTCGCGACTCGCAACGTGCAGACTTTTACGGAGCGCTCTGTGCGTCTCCTTCCTGCTTCATTCATCTCGGCAGGTTCTGACGGGTGTGCTGCGCGCAGACGGGCCGAAGGCTATCCGCGACTGCCACTGGGAGATCATCAAGACCGAGTTCTCGAAGGTCAAGGGCGCCAAGGTGCGTTCCATGCCAGTCCTTCACCAAGTCCGTCGGCCTAACACAGTCCTCGCGCAGTACTACTTCGTCGACGACCTTCAGGAAAAGTCACTCCTACACTACCGCGACCTGACGATGCAAGGCATCCCCAACAACCACGAACTGCAGTGGCTCTCGTGGCGTGGACCAGGCTACGCGCATTTGTTCTTCGCGCCCATCTCGCCTTCGCGCGGGAAGGACGCCGAGACGCAGTACGAGTTGTGCAAGCAGCTTTGCAGGAAGTACGAGTTCCAGTATATGGGCAACTTCTGTGCGTGATGCTCTCCTTCCTTGATGATGCTTGAAGCGAGTACTGACAAGGGCGGACAGGTATCGGCGCGCGCGAGATGCACCACATCCTCGACTTGATCTACGACCCGAACAACGACGACGAGAAGCGGCGTGCGCAGGCGCTCATGCGCGAGCTGACATGGGAGAGGTGCGCCTGCGCTTGCTCTCTTCTCCGCTTTTTGCATTCTTGCTGACCCTTCGACTGTCTGATTGCAGCGCCAAGCTGGGCTACTGCGAGTACCGCACGCACAATTTCCTCATGGACCAAGTCGCGGCGACGTACGGCGGGAACAACCAGATCCAGCTGCGCTTCCAGGAAGCTCTCAAGGACGCCATCGACCCGAACGGGATCCTCGCCCCTGGGAAGAGGCGAGTCCGCGTCTTGCGTTCGCTTCGACGACTTCCGGACTGACCTCGAGTGCTCGTCTCGCAGTGGCATCTGGCCCAAGCGGCTTCGCAACATTTCCGGCATTCGCCTGGGCGTCCCGGAGGAGCTGCAGCCGAAGGCAGAGTACTGGCCGCGCCAGACAGCCCGGATGTGAGCGGGCGAGCGAGGAGGAGTGTCGGGATTCGTCTGGTCGCCCTGGGTATTTTCGGTCCATCTGCATTGCCATCAGTATGTGTTCGTACGGCGCTCTTTGTAATCTGGCTGGGAACTGCGGCTGTTTGGAGTTGGTCGTCGTCGTCGCCGGCAACGAGAGAGAAGCCGGTCTTGCTCTCGCCGACAACTCTCGACTCGCTCGCCTGGCTTGACAAAGACAGCTGCAGCTCATCACAGACTGACACAGAACTCCACACCCCACCACCCCTCCGCCAAACGCGCCGTCGCTGTTCCCGCTCTCTTCATCTCCATCTCGACCCCCGCTCGCAACTTCCACTGTCGACCACCCTCGTTCGCACGCCTGACAAGCCCAGCATGGTCGGAATGAGTGACTCGTCCGTGCACGCGGTCGCCGGAGCGGCGGGAGGCTGCATCGCCATGTGAGTCGCGCGCTTTCCCCTCGCACTCGCATCCGGGTCGAGTCGCGCGAGCTGGGCCGGTCGTGCGACTTGCGGCAGGATGAGGACGTTGTCATGGCGCGCTGATGGGCTCCAGGGGGCGATCAGAGTCGTCCACGGGCGCCCGTCCTCGCTGTTTACGCTCGCTGACCTCGTCGTCTCTCCTTCCCCCCACATAGGGCTGTGACCTAGTGAGTGCACCTCCGTACACTCTTGCTCCATTCGCAAGCTCACAGTGATCCTACAGCCCCCTCGTCAACCTCTCGACGCGCTCCCAGGTCGAGGCCAAATCAAAGAAGGAGGCGAGTCCATTCCTCCGTCCCCGCCCGGCTAATGCTGACTTTCACCCGGCTACCTCGCAGAGCACTCGCAGCGCCGCGCTGAAGGTCATCCAGCGCGACGGTATCGCCGGCCTGTACGATGGCTTGAGCTCGAGTCTGCTCGGCATTGCCGTGACGAACGGGTGCGTTCGCTTCCTCCTTTCCTTTCGCCTGGCGAATGCTGACCTCTTCCGTCGCAGTATCTACTACCTCTGGTGCGCAAGGAAAGTCATCTGCTGAATGCGCACAGGCTTACCTCGTTCGCACCAGCTTCGAGGAAGCCCGCGCCGTCGTCCTCAAGTCTCGCAAGGGCACCCGCGCCACGCTCTCGACGCTCGAGTCGATCCTCGTCTCGGCGTTCGCTGGTGCAGCAACTTCGGTCCTGTCGAACCCGATCTGGGTCGTCAACGTGCGCCTTGCCTTCTTCCTTGCCTTCGCTCTCGCTGACGAGCCTTTTTCGCAGACGCGGCAAACGGTCCGCACGACCGTCGCATCCGACCCGACTGCACCAGCGGGGAAGAAGGTCATCGAGAAGCGCCGCACGATCTGGCAGACCATCATCGACATCCTCCGCACCGACGGGCCGGCCGCCTTCTTCCACGGGCTCGGACCGGCACTCATCCTCGTGTCGAACCCGATCCTGCAGTTCACGGTGCGCACTCGCCGTCATTCTACCGATCTTACCACGGCTGACGAACGATGTAACGCAGCTGTTCGAGCAGCTCAAGAACTTCATCCTGCGCCGCCGGGCACTCCGCCTCACCAAGGGCAACGCCAACGCCCCTCCCCTCACCGACCTCGACTTCTTCCTCCTCGGCGCCGTCACCAAGCTCTTCGCGACGAGCGTCACCTACCCTTGTGAGTCGCAACTCCGGCTTTTGCTTCCCTGCTCTTCCGCCGCATCGCGCCTCGCTGATCTCCCTCGCCGAGCAGACCTCACCGTCAAAGCTCGCATGCAAGCCGGCAACGCCGAAGGCAAGTCGTACACCTCGTCCCTCGACGGTCTGCGCAAGATCATCGCGCGCGAGGGACCGCAGGGCTTGTACAAGGGTATTGCGCCCAAGCTCACGCAGTCGGTTGCCACTGCTGCGTTGCTCTTCCTTGCGAAGGAGAAGATCTATAACGCGACGCGCAAGGCGCTTATTGGGACGGTCGCGAAGAACGCCGCCAAGGCGTAGAGGCGGGTCGTGTGCGGGTATCTATCTGAGGCGCACTTGTTCAGGAGAATTGAGCTGTGGGTGTGAATGCAGGCGGAGCACGATGGAAGAAGTGGGATCCTGGGCGTACACAATGCTTGTCGACGTGAAAGAATGTCTGTATCCTCTCCAATTCTTTTCCCGCCGCGCGCCATCCTACCTGCCTTCGCTCTCAACGCTTTGAGCGGTGAGCTTGTCGCCCCCAGCTCACCCGACTGCGCCACCAGCAGGCATAACAACCTCCGAAGACCCCCGACGCGCTCCGCCGCCGTTGGCGTCGACCTTCTCAGCGTCAAGAACCGGTGGACAAGCGCGTCTGCCGGTGACCATCAGGGTTCTCTCGCAGCGCTCGAAAGGATCAGTGCCGGTAGCCGCGCTAAGGAGTGGCGCCGCGCGCGTCGTTGCTTGCGAAGGTCGCGCTGGGAGACTTGTGGGAGACGTTCTCCTCGCTCTCAACTCGCTGAAGTCCTCGCGTCGTTCCGTGGCAGGCGAAGCGTTTACAGAAGACCGTGGCCTCGCAATCTAGTGGAGTACAGCTTCAAGCGAGATCAGCGAGACGAGAAAGGCGAGAGTCGACCGCCTTTCCTCCTCGTCCTCCTCTTCGCGCATCACGCCAGCTCTCCTCACCCGCTCTCGCACCCGCTTGTTTGGCGTCCAAACGCGCAAAGGAGCTTCCCAAAGCACCGCCTCGAACTGCGATAACCCGCAACACGCCATCCACCCTTAGTCCGGAGTCTAGCGCAACGGCCAGCGTCGCGTCGAGCTCCTCTTCCCACCGCACAAAGTCGCTCTCTCGTCGCTCTTCGTCTCTCTCGTTCCTTCAAACCACTTTCAGCGTCGAATTTTGTCGTCTCCGCCCGCGCCCACCCAGCTACAGCCCTCCCTCACGCTCTTTCAGCACTCGCCCTCGCTCCTTCTCCCGGCATCGCCCGCAGCGTCTTCGCGCGTCACTCTAATCCTCACCATGTTCGCTTCGTCTTCGTCGATCTTCACCGCCGCCGTCGCGCTCCTCGCGAGCGCCAACTCTGCCCTCGCGGGCAAGAGTGCGTCTCCTCTCTCTCCCTTCTGACGGCCACTTCTCGCGCTGACCCTGGTCTCGGGCACAGCTCCCTCGGGCGTCTTCAACGGCAACTCGGGCTCGACCAAGATCGACTACCAGCCCGCGTTCACCAGTCCCAAGGGCGGCGAGATCTGGCTCGCAGGACAGAACTACAGCGCCAGCTGGTGCGTCGCGATCCTGTCTTTGCGTTTGAGCGTCGAGTTGATCAGGTGAGCGCGACCAGGGACCAGAAGCTGCCCGAGGGCATTCCCGTGCAGAATGTCAGCCAGACGGCCAACCTCGTTCTCGGGTACACCGAGGCAGGGAGCCAGTCGCTTAACCTGAGTGCGTGCGGTTTTTCCTTCACGACCTTGAGTCGATGTGCTGACGATGGCGACGACAAGCAGACTGGACCCTCGCGAACAACGTCTCGCTCTACCCGCCTGCGCCCAACACCGTCAACTTCCAGCTCCCAGAGGACCTGCCTCCTCGCAACTCCTAGTGCGTTCGCTCTTTGCCTCGCATGCTCCTCCTGCGCTGACACGTCTCGCCGCACAGCTTCCTCGTCCTCCTCGGCTCGTCGCGCAACCAGTCCCCCAAGTTCACCATCCTCCCCGACATCCTCCCGGCGCACACCTCGCCCGACGCGTCCTCCGCCCCTTCGGTTCCTGTTCCGTTTGGCGCGCCGTCGGCTCTTCCGACCGGTGCGGGCGAGAGCGACGGCCAGGGCGAGCAGGGCGAGAACCAGAACCAGGACGAGCAGGAGCAGGGCCAGCAGTTTGGACGGTTTGCGCGCCGTTTTGCGGGTGCGCGCAAGGCTCGTCTCGACAACTAGAGCGTCGTCGTCGAGCGTGCGCAAGGAGCGTGGACTGGTCTCCTGGCGAGACTCCTCCTTCCCTCCCCTTTTCCTAGATCCCCTTCGTCCTTCAGCACGTTGTCCATAGACTCGATTCGTATCATTCAAGCATCCGGAAATGCACAGCAGACACTTCTCCCGGTGATTCTCCAGCGAGTCCCTCGAGATGGAGGTAGCCTCAAACAGCCCGCCAAGCCCGGAAGCGAGCTGACCAAGTCGCGCCGTCGTATAGCCCGACTCTGCGCGTGTCCGGGTAAGCGTCCCACCGCGCTCTGAGCGTGGGCGAGGGTGTTCGGCAGGCGTTGTTGCCAGTTGCGCGGGATGCGATAGGACGAAGCCGGCAGCACGCGACCGCGGCGAGACGGGGTTGCAGCGAGTCGAGCGTGTCCTGCCAGTCCCATTCCACCCAGCTACACCACTTCCAGCCCGAGGAGCGCGAGCGAGAGCGCCGTGTCAAGTCGTCGCCCAACTTCGCCGGACCCGTTGCCCTTTGGACTCGACACCTTCACTCTCCGCTTGCCAGCTAGATTGACAAGGTCAGCACGAGCTCACTCGCATCGTACAGCCCATCCACCCATCCCTGCGCTTCTCCCGCCTCGAACGGCTCGGCGCGCGACTCGCACAGCGAACGCGCCCCTTTGTCGCTTCCGCAGCCCGCCGAGGAGCATCTGAGACCGTGTGGACAGCAGATGCTGACTCGCAGCACTCGCTTCCACCTTTCTGCCAACGCACGACTCTCCCCGTTCTGTCGCCACGCCATTCAGTCGCCTCGCCGGATCCCTCCTTCCTCCTCCTCTTACAGACTCGCACAAACTTCCACCTAGACAAAGATGTCGGCACCAAAGGTCTACACCTGGGACGAGCTCAAGTCGGACGAGGCAAAGTCCAAGAGCGGCATCCTCATGCTCATCCACGGCAAGGGTCAGTTCTCTCGTCCTTCGGGTTCGTTCCGCTGTCCCTCGTTCGCTGACTGCTTCTTCTGCTCGCGCAGTCTACGCTATCAGCAAGTTCCTCGACGAGGTCCGCTTCCCTTCCTTCCCGCCTCCGCCCTCATAAGCCAAGCTAACCCTCTTTCCCCCACTTACTCTGCGAAACAGCACCCTGGAGGCGACGAGGTTCTTTTCGGCGAGGTTGGGCGTGACGCGACCGAGGCGTTCGAGGATGTCGGTCACTCGGACGAGGCGCGCGAGATCTTGAAGAAGTACTACGTTGGAGAGGGCCCCGAGGTGAGTCTGCGCGCTTGCCATGCCTAGCTCCTCGAGAAACGGGTTGCTGACTGAGATTGCACGCGCAGGGCACCGCGTCGGCTGCGTCTGGAGCAAAGGCGCCCCGTGATGCGGCCGGTGGCAAGGCGACCGAGTCGTGAGTCCAGCTCTTACGTTTATGCGCGACGTGCCCTCTCAACTTGAGAGGCACGAAAGACGTGCTGTGTGTATTGTGAGCTGCTACTGACTCGTGCTCACTGCGCAGGAGCGGCGGATTCACCTACCTCCTTCCTCTCGCCTTCCTCGCCGCCTACTTCGCCTACAAGTCCGTCCCCTCTCTCCTTCCCACCCCGTTCTCGTACTGACGCTGCATTGTGCACAGGTTCTACTCGCAGCAGAACGCCGCCTAAAACCCGCCCTCCCGTCTCCCCTCGAACAGGTCGCTTATTTCCTTCCCTCGCACCGGTCATCCTCGTTCTTCGGTTTCCCTCCTTTCGCTCGCCTAGTGTCGTTTCTTCCTCCTTTCTTCCCTCTTCTTCCTTTCGTACACTCCTTTCGGGTCGAGCAGATGCAAGATTCGGATGTGCAACTTTGTTTGCAGGACTTGTCGGGCGCAGAGAGTACGAACGGGTCTGAGAGGTGGGAGCGGGGCGGGAAAGGATTGAAGCGAGTGCTGCAATGAGGGGAAGAGAGCGTCGCGACGGAAAGTGCGAGAGAACGGGCGACGAGCGAGCGCGGAAGGGGCGAGGAAGGCGAGATGTGGCGACGAAGGCAGACGACCTTTACTTCCCCTTCTGCGCTATCTTCCTGCGAGTTGCGCCGTATCAGCCCGCATCCAGAAGGCCGGAAGCCGCGTCCGTTAGACACACCTTGGCCTTTCTGCTCCTCGACGTCTCCCTTCGCCTTCCTCATCCTATAGCAAAACTCCTCGAATCCAACCATCACTCCCTCTCCCTCCTCCTCATCCTCCTTCTCCTCCTCGGCGGTGTCATCGACGGGATCGAAGTCCTCCTTCGTGCCGGTGCGGTAGAAGATGCGATGGTTGTTTGCTGCGCAGACGCGGAGGGGATGGTCAGCGGGAGCGGAGGGAGTAAGCGGAGAGAGGGCGGGCGGAAAGCGGACAGTCTTTCGTAGCGGTTTGAGCGGTGAGGGGGAGGTCGTCTACGCGAGGAAGAAGGAAGCAAGTCAGCCACTCTTCGATCTCGGAAGGGGAGTATAAGAAGGCGCCTCCGACGCACCTGCTTCGTCGAAAACGTTGCGGAAGCACACCTCCTTGTAGATCAGCGTCCTCGGGTCGGGCAAGTCGGCGGGATCGAGGTCCGGGAGTGCTGCTGAGCGGGAGGAAAGGGTCAGCACGGATTCTTGAGGAGGTCCGGTGGAGGCGAGGACGCACCGGCGGAGGAATTCGAGGCTGTTGCCAGTGAGGAAAAGACGAGGAGAGCAGTTGCGAGGTAGCTGAGCAGCATCGTAAGCGTAGCAGGGGGGAAAGGACGAGAGATGGAGACGCGGAGGCGGCTCAGGTCAAGAGTATGCGGACCGCAGGCGAAGAGAGAGCACGTATATGCGCATGGAGGCACGTTTAGCTGTGGAAGCGTGCATGCGCATTCAGCGAGAGAGCATGCAGGCAGGAGGAGGAGAGGGCGGGTGGTCTCAACGGGCGCCCGCAAGCCGTACTGGCGACTCTAGCGCCGCCTCCGTCTTCGTTCAGCCCTTATGACCCCTTGCAGTCCACCTCGAGCAGCACAACAGCCAGACCGTGACCCTGGAAACGAGTCGCCGTCCGGAGGAGATGAGGGTCGAGCAGGCGGGCGCAGGCGATGGGACGGTCTGAGAGCGGTACGAGCGAGCGCAATGAGCGTCTGAAGAGCATGGTCAAGCCCAGTTAGCCCATTCTGCGGGTTGTGAGAGCGCGGACGAGGACGAACCCATTCGCTCGCGCTCTTCGACCTCGACAACAACTCGCTGCTACTCAAGCTGGCGTTGTGCTTAGCTGTATGCTCGTCTGAGAGCCTTTTCAAAGCCTGACAAGGCCACTCGCCGTGCCCCAGCGCTCTCCGACCTCGCCGTCGCCCTGTTCGTCCTCCTCGCCTTTGACAGACGATGATGCGGCAACACGACGCGCCGTGACCTCGAGGTTTGCTGTACTGCTTTATTTGTGCCCAAGTAAAGAGCTAATGAGGCCAGCACCCCGCTTTTGCGACGTCTGCGACCCGTCCCACCCACTCTCCCTCGCCTCCTGCTCCTCTCTTCCGGCTGCGCAGCGCTGTCACTCTTCTGCGGACAAGGTGACTTGCACATGAACGAGCTGCGGACTGCGCGACGCTGCCTCACCTGCGCCTCGCTCGCTCTTCCGCTCCTCTCTCCTCTTCTCTCCTCATCCTCCTCGCACTCGTCCAAACAAGGTGCGCCTCCTTTCCTCCTACTGCTCCCGAATATCCCTCACTGACAAACGCTTCTTCCCGCACTACAGCTTCCGGCCATGCACCCCTCGCACCTCGTCCCCCTCCTCCTCGCCTCGCTCGCCCTCGTCAAGGCTGCTCCCGTTCCGCAGGACGCCGCGACCACCGCCGCTCCCGCTGCCCCCTCTCCGACCGACCCAGCCCTCGCCAGCCTCGCCAATCCGGACACGAGTACCGCCACGGCCGTCAACTTCTCGCCGGAAGGCTTCCAGCAGTCGATGCAGCCGCCGAGCGAGGACGCCTTCAACTCGAGCCCTTCCTCCTCCTCCCTTGCCACGACGGACTCTTCGACTTCCTCCACCACTCCGAGCGACGGCACGTCCAACCTTCCCGGCAACAGCTCCTCCTCCACCTCTACCTCCGACGACGCCGACGGCCTCTCGAACATCCTCGGCACGCTCAACACGCTGCAAAACTCGGAGAAGATGGGCGGCGCTGGCGGCGCGACGGATGCCTCGTCGATGGTTTCGCCTCAAGACGTCGACGCGGCTGCTGCTGGCGACGCCATCGAGTCCGAGGCGACTCCTCCTGCCTCCCCGTCGCTCGCCAACCTCGCCTCCGTCGCTCCTCCCCTCGGCGCCAAGAACGCGCTCGCGCAGGAGCCGACGTACACGACCGTTGATCCTGCCGCCTCGACCTCAGGTGCGTTCCGCTTTCACTTTCTCGCTTTCCAGCCGACGCTGACCTCTCCTCTGCGCAGCTCCCTTCGACATCGGCGCTCTCCTTGCGTCTGCGACCGCTCCGCCCACCGACCCACTCTCCGGCTCCGTCACCGTCGCGACGACTCTTCCGAGCCTCACTGCCGACGCTCCCGCTCCCTCGTCCTCCTCCGTCGACCCGTCTCTCTTCGCCTCAACTACCTCCGACCCCTCTTCTACCTCCTCCGCCTCTGTCGATACTGCCGCCGCCTCGTCCACTTCCGCCGACCCTTCCCTCGTCGCGTCAACCGTCGCCGATCCGAACCCGAGCACCATCGTCTTCGACCAGGCGGGCTTCCTCGCCGGCGCTTCCTTCGCGCCTGAGGCGACGGCGCCTGCTGCTGGTGCAGACGCGGCGAGTCCCGCTGCCACCTCCGCCGCTTGAGAGGTGCGTCGTTCCTTTCCGTCTTTCGCTTTCCAAGGACTGACGAAGTCTATTCACGCAGACCACGGATCCTCTTCCCGCTTTCTTGTAGAACGCTCTTCCCCTCTTGCTCGTAGACACTCGCCTTCCCTGCATCGACAGAACCGTCCCAGCACGATCTGCGCGAAGCGAGAGAGCGAAAGCACCGTCAACGATTTGCATTTCAGTGAGCGCGCGAGCGCTGATGGCGGATCACTCCCGAGAGGACGTCAGAAGGACTTGCGCCCTGTCGGCAAGCCTCTTGGCGAAGAGCGAGATCCCTCGAACGCTCGCCTTGCCCGCACGAGAAGCAAGTAGGGGACCAATCGTGCATTGACGTTATCGACAAACAAACTACAGCCAGCGCGGCACGTATCGCGAAGGAGGGAGGAAAGAGCGAGTCTGATGCAGCGCGAAAGATCGAGGAGGCGAAGGGCGAAGAGAGCCCTTGTCGCCGCCGTGCGAGTGTACGTGCTGCAGTGAAGTCGTCAGCGCAGGCTGCACGTGTAGGAGAAGGCAAGAGGCTTCTTACGAGGAGGCAACCGAGAAGTTGAGGTGGACCGGCGACCAGACGGAGCGAGACCAGTTGCGAGTCTGCGATTCCACGAAGGCGTCGACCTCGCGCTTGAGACGAAGCGAGGAGAGGACAAACACGCAGCGGGCACGCGGAGAACTCAGGACGACCGGCGAGAGAGACGGCGAGCGAAGGAGCGGAAGTTGAGGCCTGCGCAAGCGAGTCAGTCCGAGATCTGCGAAGGAGCCGTTCGAGCGGACGCACGTGGCTGTTAGGCTACTTGAGGGTGCCGGCGATGGAGCAGGCTGGTAAATGCTGGAATGAAGCCCGACGAGCGCGCTCCGTTCGAGTGTGGGCGCAGGGGAACCCTCGTGTCGTCCATCGTTGCCTCCGCCCATCCCGATTCAACCGACTCCTCCGCGTCTCCCAGCATCTTCGTTACGGTCGGCTCGAATCGCCGCCTAGCCGCTTCCGAGTCGGGTGTCGGGCGGTCCGGCAAGGCGTACTTCGTCCAGTTGACGCCGTCGGTGGTCAAGCAGATCAAGCGGGCTTTGTGGTCGGCTCGATAGTAGCTCGGACGCTTCAAGGGGATTGGCCAGACTGTGGGCCAGGGAGTTAGCTTGTGAGAGCGGCGCCCGGACTGCCTGCTCGTGGCGAGACTCACGAGAGTGCGGTGCGGCAAATGGCGGCGAGAAGGACATAGCGGGTTGAGTCTTGAGAAGATGAACTTCTGTGCGGCACGGATACCGTTCTTGCAAGTCATGGAGGAAGACATCGCGAACCTCGTGCAAGCCTGCGGACGGAACGTGAGTAACTAAAGCGCCATCGCGCGAGAGTGGGGGACCTGCGCACCCAGAAGCTTGCTCCGCCTGACGTGGATGCGCGACCGTATCGTCTCAATCGCACCTTCGAGATCGGCGAGAGAAGCGCCGCCGTTGGCATCCGCAAGCCGCTTCGCGCGCCTCAGCCTGCCGATTCTGTCCCTCAGATTCTCGATAGCATCCAGATCCTCGTCGTGATCTCTTCCTAACGGAAACCAGATCCCACCGTCGAACGTCTGGTAGAACGCCTCGAGTTCGGCGTTCCAACGCGGCGGGCCAGGTTGAGTCGGTACGATGTGGGAGAAGAGGTCGCAGTAGGGGTAGAGGAAGTTGTAGCGCACGCTCCAGGGCAGCAGCGCAGGAAGGAGAGCTGGTTCAACCTGAGTATCTGGGATGAGCGAGGCGAGGGACATGACGAGGAGCAGGATTCGTCGCGGAGCCGCCGTAGGAAGAGATACAGGCTCCGAATTCAATGCACTGGGACTGGGTAGCTTCTAATCCGTCCAGGTCTCGCCTTTGCGCCGTGTGCCCGGTCTGCGCGAGTCTGGCTGATGAGGAAGAAGGGAGGGCGTGGAGGGCCGCACAGCGCCGAGGCGGGTCGCGCGAGTGGCTGAGGATGTAGCTGAGGATCGCAGCAGCGTATCGAACTAGCTCGCCAAGCCAAGCGAGATGAAGCAGTGAGCGGGTGCTCGTCAATTCCGCCAGCGAAGGCGCTGTCGACAACTCGCCGGCCAGGGAGCGTGAAAGCACTGATGGCGTTCCTCTTCAAAGAACGTCAAAGAGGAGTTGCGCTCTATTGGCGAACCTCGCAGCGACGGGCAAACTCCCTCGAACGCTCGTTGTAACTCGTCGCCTAGCTCGCACGAAAGCAACTCGGCGCACGAGCATACATTGACAGTGACGACCGATCAAGTACAGCTGTACAGCGTGTTAAGTGTCTGAGAGTCGACGGAGAAAAGGGCGAGTTTGGGTCGGCGCGAAAGATCGAGGAGGCGAAAGGCGAGGAGAGCGCTTGTCGACCTCGTGCGAGTGTACATACTGCAGTGAAGTCGTCAACGCAGGCTGCAAGCGCAGGAGAGGGTAAGAGGATGCGTACGAAGAGGGGGCAACAGAGAAACTGAGGCGAGCGGGCGACCAGACGAAGCGAGACCACTTGCGAGTCTGCGTATCCACGAAGGTGTCGGCCTCGCGCTTGGAACGGAGCGATATCAGGACGAACAAGCTCGACGACCAGACCGAGAATTCAGGACAACCGGTGAGGAAGATGGCGAGCGAAGAAGCGGAAGTTGAGGCCTGCGGAAGCGAGTCAGTCCGAGCTCTGCGAAGGAGCCGTACAAGCGGACGCACGTGGCTGTTAGGCTACTTGAAGGTGTCGGCGATGGAGCAGGCCAGTGAATGCTGGAATGAAGCCCGACGAGCGCGCTCCGTCTGAGTGTGAGAGAAGGAGGGGAACCGTCGCATCGTCCATCGTTGCCTCCGCCCATCCCGATTCAGCCGAGTCGTCTGCGTCTTCCAGCACCTCCGCTGCCGTTGGCTCGAATCGCCGCCTCGCTGCTTCCGAGTCGGGTGTCGGGCGGTCCGGCAAAGCGTACTCGTCCCAGTCGATATCGCCGGTTGCCAAGCAGATCAACGTCTCGCGACTCGGGTTGAAGGATAAACTCGGATCTAAGGGGACCGGCCAGACTGCGCGCGAAGAAGTCGTCAGTGTCGTAGCTGCCGGATCGGACACGGCCAGGACGAACGAGAGAATGGCGCTGCTTTCGGCGGCGGGAAAGCCGATTGCTCGAGTTTGGAATCCAAGAAGTCGTAATCGGAGACGCCGATATGGCGGTTCTGGGGGTGATTGAGGTACCGCGTCCGGATGTCAGCGAGCCCTGCGAAAGCAAGAAGCTCAGCGGGAGGTCGCCTCGCAAGCTGCGAGTGCGGCGTAACTGATTGTATAGCCTGTCCCAACGCGTGGATCGGCGAGTCACCAGAAGCTGGATGGCGTCCTCGATGTCGGCACGCGAGGGACTGTCCGGCGATTCCCGAGCCAGCTGCGCCCCCTCCAAGCTGCCGAGCTTCCCCCGCATGCCCATGATTGCAAAATTGTCGCGAAAGTGATCCTTCCTGAGGTGGTCCCATACGGCGACGTCGAACGTCTGCCAATAAGCCTCGAGCTCGGCGGTCCAGGCAGGCGGGCCATATTGGGTCGGTACGATGTGGGAGAAGATGTCGCAGTACGGGTAGAGAGCGTTAAAGCGCAGGGTCCACGGCAAGAGCGGTGGGAGAAGAGCTGGGTCAACCCGAGTATCCGGGACGAGCGAGGCGAGGGACATGGAGGAGGAAGGTCGTTGGATGGATACCTCGCAAAGGAGACAGAGGATGCTGAGGTGAGAAGGTGAGGAACGCCGTCCGACTCGACGGTGCGACGCCTAGCCGCTGTGGTAGGCCGACCTGCAAGGCCGTATGGAACGAGGAGGAGAGGAGCAACAGCGGCAGACCCAGGAATTGCGGCCGGCTGCCTTGCGTCCACAGATCCACCCCGACGCGCTCCTGCCGCTTCCACTGTCGTGTTAACCTGGCTCGTGGTCGTTTCGAGGCGGGAAGCGATGAAGACGGGGGAGGGCGTCGGCAGCAACGGGACGCGGATGAGCGAGATGGAGCGATTCTAAGCAGTCTTTAGCGCCACTCTCCAGCAGTCACAGCCCGTTCAGGGGATGTCGAGTGGCTTGTCGAGGGTCATGCCATCATTTCGCAGGTTGGCCTCCGCCTCCTCCGCTCACTCGCGCAGAACAGCTCGCTTGCTCGCTCAGACTGCTCACAGAGGATTGCACAGGCTCTCCTAAGGTGCGCGCTGCTTCTCACCGCTTGCACGAGGTCGCGCGGACGACTTCCGCCTCTTGGCGACCGGGATCGACTCCGGCTCGCCATCGCTGACAGCTGTTGCTGCGTGCAGACACGACAGCAAACGGAGAAACAATGGCGGGCATCGAAGCGGCGAAAGGCATCGCCAACGCCGTCAACGACTCGGACAACCCTTCCGAAATCCTCTACCTCGTCGCCTGCCACTTCCTCTCGCAACTCGAGAACCTCCTGCAGACTTCGGTCGTGACCGACTACCACCTCACTTTCACGAGCAAACTGTCGCCCGGCTCAACCATCGGGAAACACATTCGCCACCTCGTCGACCACTACCGGTTGCTCCTCGAAGGACTGAAGCAGTCGAATGCCTCGTCCTCCTCGTCTTCCTCATCCTCCTCGTCTTCCTCATCCTCGCAACCTTCTCTGCTCGTCGATTACGACGTCCGGACACGGAATCAGGAAGCCGAAACGTCGCATGCAGCCTGCCTCGAATCGGTTCGCATCCTGCGGGACCGCATCGCGCAGGAGACGGGCGAGGGAAAGTCGGTCGACCCCGAACGGATAGTTAGGCTCAAGGCAACGACGCCGGTGCAGGTCGAAGTTGGGACTACCTTTGCGCGAGAACTCTGGTTCGCAAGCTTCCACGCAGGTTTGTCTGCTTGCCTTCTTCACCTCTGCTTCGGTCACTGACGCTTGCGTGTCTCTCAGTGCATCACTTTGCTCTTCTCCGGTGCGTTCCGCCTCGCTATATCACTTGGTCTGCTGCTGACCTCAGCTCGTCTACTCGAAGGGTCATCGCAACGGGCGAACTCGGCCTCGACGTCGCCACAGACTTCGGCGTTGCTCCTTCCACCCTCGTACATCGCCAAGAAGACAAGGAGGAGTCGAAGGGACTGTCGAAGCTGTAGCTATTGTCGCATCACTCGTCGTTTCCGCAACGCAGCTCTCGTATAGTCTGCCCAATCCGCTAGAAGACGCCACGACTTTCAACGTGCGAGAAGAAGTCGTACATGTGCTTTGCGGAGGAGATAGACGAGTCTATGCAGAAGACGGAGACGAGGAGGAAGGTTGCAAGAACAAAATCGGAGGGTCTACTTGTTCCGAGCGGGATGCTGTGCAACGACGTCGTTAGCGTACTCTTGACAGTTTCGCGAGGTACAACGGACGCACCCAGCTCCCGTACATCTGCGCCGCACTCTGAGCCGTCGTCACCGCCTGGAATGGATCAAACTCCTCAACAACGCCATCGAGATCGTCCACCGCGCCCTTCCTCTGCCCCTTAATCGATGACACTGGCGTTCCGCTTCTCGCGCGACTGCCTTTCATCGCCGATCGGAGCGGCGCAGGCTCGTCTTCCCGGTCGTCGTCGAGCGAGAGTTCGGACGTCTCAGATGCCGGAACGCTCGCTGACCAGGCGGCGATGCGCGACGCCTTCGAGGGCGGGAGAAGAGGCTTCGGCGGCTTTGGTGGCGGAGGAGGCGCGAAGGATGGAGGCGTCGGGTTCGAGCGAGGTCGGCGAGCCCAATCGTCGTAGTCTTCAGTCGGCTCGGATTCAAGGCTGCGTGGCGTCAGCGTCAGTGTCAGAGACAGGACAGACCGTAGAGCGCGGAACGGGCGCACTGGTTCTGCCGGAACCTGTCACCGACGCTCATCCTCCTCGGCTTCTCGACTCTCTCCCAAGACTCGTCTTCCTGCTCACGCTCGACGTAGACGCTCTTTCGCGCTGCCTTGGCCGACTTGAAGCGTTGTTCGAGGATCTCGGCTTCTTCGCGAGCGATTCGACTGAAAGAAGAAGCGACTCAGCGGTTTGAGCCTTCGCAAGCTGGAGAAACCAAGACTTACGCGGCCATCTCCTGTCTCTTCTGCGCTTCTCCAGCACTGTTCCTCCTCGCGCCGCCCTTCGGAATCGAGCGCATCTCGTACATCGTGCCGCTTCCGCCCCTTCCCCTACTCGTCGACCTAGTCCTCGACTCCGACCTGTCCCTTCCACGACCGTCTCCTCTGCTGGACCTCTCCGAGCGGTCTTGACGACCTCGCGCGCCTCCTCCGCCACTGCCGCGACCGCCATACGAGTCCCGCCTGTCGCTGCGATCGCTCGCGTAGCTGTCTTTTCTCGAGCGCCGAGAACTCCGTCCGCCGCCTCGTCCTCCGTCGTCCGCATCATCGTAATCCTGTTGATCATCTTCATCGTCCGAAGGTGTTTGCGGCCTGTCCCTGTAGCTCTTCGAGCGCGTCGACGCAGCCCTTGAAGGCGGACGGCGAGAGGTATAGTCGTCGGGCGAGACGGTCTCGTCCGAGTAAGCTGAAGGAGCAGAAGGCCGCGGAGGTGCTTGTGAGGCGTTCAGTGGCGGCGGAGCGGGACGAGACGAGTCGTAGCCGCCGAACGATGAGGACGGAGCAGGCGGGAAATACGAGTTTGAGACGGGGTAAGGCGGCTGAGGCTGGGTAGGCGGGACTGACGGCGTCGGTGCCGGCTGGTATGGAGCTTGGTAGCCTTGGTAAGAAGGCTGGGAAGGCGGAGGCGGGGGTGGCGCGACTGGATAGGGAGGCGCGCTGGGCGTCGAGGCTTGACCTGCAACGGGAGGCGCACTGCCGTAAGGCGCAGATGGCGGATAAGGAGGCGCTGTCGGCTGATTCGGCGGAGCGGGATAGGCTTGAAAAGCGTTAGGTGCGGGCTGAGACGGAACAGACGGCGGAGATGCGGTGGGCCGAGCGGAAGGCGCTGCATTCGGCTCTGTGATCTGCCAGACCCACTGCCCGTCTTGACCTGGTACCCAACGCCCCAGCGCACCTTGCGAAGGGGCGGACGGCGTCGGCGAAGCTGTCTGAGGCGCGGGCTGGACGGCCGGCGCAGGCGGAGACGGCTGAGGCGGCGCAGGCTGTGGTGGCGCGAGCTGCGGCGAAGGAGCGCCGTACGCGCTCGGCTGACCGTAAGGAGAGCTCGAAGGCGGCGGATGAAGATTACCGTACGGATAAGCGGGTTGCGTCGAGGGTGCCTGCGCGTTCTGCGGCGGCCAGCCTTGGCTCGGTGGAGCATTGGGCTGCTGAGGCGGCGGAGGAGACGTGACGGGCGCAGGCGGAGCGGGGTACGGCGGACGAAGGTTCTGTTCGTACGATGAAGGAGGAGGGGGAGGGGGACCTGGGTAAGGAGGATAGTTCGCGGCGTCGCGACCTGGTGCGGGTGTTGGAGCATACGAGCGTGAGATAGGATCCTGCTGCTGATAGTGGTCGCTTTGCGGCGGAGCAGACGACGAAGGGTAAGAAGGGGGATACCCAGTCGGTGGAGCGGAAGGCGGTTGAGCCGGCCATCCTGGCCCCGAAGGCTGCTGCGTCGCCATCGACTGCGGCTGCTGAGGAGGTTGCGACCATTGCTGAGGCGGAGCTGCTAATCCCGGCGGCGGGACTGGCGGTGCTTGACCGTAGTAGCCGGGCGTAGAAGCGTAAGGGGCGGAACTGGGTGGCTGACCGTAGCTGCTGGGCGGATGCGGCGCGCTAAGCGGCGGACCGTAGCCTGGCTGAGGTGCCTGAGAAGCAGCAGAAGGAGGGTAGTTCGACGGTGGATAGGGCGTCGGTGCACCATAGCTCGAGGGCGGTGCGTTTCCGTAATTCGACGGCGGGGCGCTTCCGTAAGTCGAAGGAGGTGCACCGCCGTAGTTCGACGGCGGAGCTGCACGTGAGATGCGTCAGCCGACTCGAGACGATAGAACACGCAGGAGACGAACCTTGCGAGTAGCCCGCCTGCGACGCGCCAGAGTTGCCGTTCCAACGGTTGTCCTGCTGTCGACCGCCTCGCGACGAGGGAGCTTGTGACTGATCGTCCCACCCGCCACCGTAGCCGCTGTCGGTCGTCGGTCGGAGCGTACGAGTCGGACGGCGCAGGTGTTGCGGTCGACCTGGACGAACCCTTCTGCCGCCCTCCCCCGTCGTCACCGTAGCCATCGTTCCTCGAGCTCTTCGTCGACGAGCCGTAGTCGTCGTACCCGCCTGCATCGTCATACGAGTCGGCATCGCGGTTCTTCCGAGTCGAGCGCGAGGAATCCTTCTTCGGCGATCGCCCACTGTCCCCATAATCGTCATCCCCGTAGTCGTCCGTCCTCGACCTAGATTTCGAACGCCTCCTCCTGTCGCTGTCTTTGTCGCGATCCCTGTCGCGGTCGTCACGACGCGACGACCTCCTGTCGTCTCGGTCGCGGTCGTCGCGACGAGATGTGCGAGTCCGGGAGGTGCTACGGTCGCGGCGGTCATACTTGGACGAAGAGCCCATGGTCTCGACGGCGGCGAAGCAAGGAAAGCGAGGTCGGACTTGCCGGGGTCAGGAGGTAAGGAGGGCGACGCTGTGAGCGAGAGGAGGGGGTCAGTATGCAATGAGGCAAAGTGTAGAAACAACGCACCTTGCGATCCAGCAGGGACGAAACGAGATGCCCAGGCTGAGCGTGCGAGAGCTTGACGAGCGAGGGAGGCCAAGCCGTCCGCCCGAGCGAGGAAGCGAGTCCGCGGACCCTCCGAAGCCGCGCAGAAAACCGGCTGAGCTGACCCTCACCCGCTTGTGCCCTCGATAAGCACCAAAGAGCAACGTAAGAACAGCAGGAGGTCTTTGCGAAGTATTGCGAGTCAAGTTGAGGAGGATAAAGGACGGCTGGAGAAGGCGAACCCCGCCATACACGTCTACTCGCTCCTCGAACCGCCTTGCGCCGCCAGCTGCACCTTTATCACGCGTCCGGCAGCTCATCCTTTCGTTCGCAGCCCGCTGCTGGTCGTTGCCGAGTCGCTGGACGCCTTCATCAGTTTCGAGTCGCGAGGAGAGCAGGGGAGGGTACGAGAGTCGGCGGGCGAGTCCCGAGCAGTCTGGCGCGTGGTAAACTGTAGCAAAAGCGTTCTGCAGGCCACCACACGCCCGGACAAGCCGCAGCAGCGCGTTGTCGCCTCCCAACCCTCGCTCGCTGGTCGCGCGCCTCTCTTTCTCCTTCACCGCTCACGGCGCCCTGGCACGCCCTCAACCAGCGTTGCCAGCACTTCCCTGGCCTCTCATTCTTCCACCCAGCGGCTTAGGTAAAGTCGCTTCGCCTTGCGCCTCGTTTGCGCGGGCGTCAGCGTGAGCAGAAAAAGCCGGCATCACTCGAGGTGTTGGCGGGGTCTCCGATTAAGCCGAGGGCGCGTGCAGACTCTCCACCAGCGCGCTCTGACTAGGTGGGACCGACATGCACAGCGGGTGCGGCGGCTGCGAGGGAGACGAGGCAGGAGGGCGGTCGCGAGGGAGGGCGTCCTGGAGAGCGAGGCGGCGTCGGGCGGGATGGGTAGGCGTGCGACTTGTACGGCTCGAGGGCAATGGAGTGGCAGAAGCGCGTCAGGCCGAGGAGCGATCTGGCGGACGGAGCCCTCCTTCGCGTCCTCCCCCTGCAATGACCGGTCTCTCCTCCTTTCCGTCGCCTGTTCCGCCCAAGCCCAAGCGAGCAGATTGTGAGGTCTCCTGCACACCACGGACCAGCCACGCATCCTGGAACGAACGTGTTGCAGCGGCAAGCTAAGGCAAGACCAGTGTCTGATGGGAGAGGAAAAGGCGGAAAGAGCACGCTAGCAACCAAGAAAGTAACGAATGTGAGCGACCGACTCAAAGGGGTATATCACGTCTCACAGCGCCCAGGCCGCCGCTGTCCCCAGCGCCGCAAGCACAACGCCGACCACAGCAGCGACGTCGCTCCGGAGCGCCGCAACGCCCGACGTATCCTTCCCGCTCGACGAGCTGCTCGCCGCCGCAGTCGGACGTGCAGTGACAGCCGCGGTCGTCTGCGTCAGGACGAGGTCGCCCGCGTTCCAGGGCAACTTGCCTGCCGGTCCGCCCTGCGATGCGGGCAGCGCAGCGGCAGCACTGACGGTCTGGGCACCGAGCTGGCCGTTGCCGACGGTCACCCACTGGCCTTGCGACGGAACGCCGTTGACGACGACGAAGATGAGGACTGGGCCGGGAGGGAGGATGGCGGGGTTGGGAGGAACTTGCGCAGTGTGCAGGACGGCCGAGCCGTCAGAGTTGACCGTGTAGGTCATGTTGCTGTGCGCGTGTGACAAGCTAATCAGTCGCGAGTCCTGAGAGTAGGAGGGAAGCGGGAAAACGCACAGCTCGACGAATCGCTGACCCATGTTCATCGCGTGCGTCGAGAACCCAGGCCTGACGAGCGTGACACGGGTGTTGGCGAGGTTGTCCGTTTTGCCGACGTCGCTCGCCGAGAGCTTGATGTCAAAGCAGTCGCCTCCGTACGTGAGCGTCTGCGGGATCCCCTGCGGCTGAGGGCGGTTCGCGGTGTAGTAGTCGGGGTAGAACCGCTCGACGCGGTACTCGGTGAAATATTTGTAGCCGGGCGCGTTGTACGGCACGTAGTCGGCGTTCGGGTTCGAGCCGGACGACCAGACCGAGCCGTCGGGGAGGAGGGTCGCGGACGAGTGGTACATGCGGTCGATGGTCGAGTTGGCGATCGCGGCAGAGAAGCGCGAGCCCTTGGGCTGGTTCGGGTCGTAGTAGCGGATCGTGTGCACGGGGTCGTCGCCGAACGACTGGCCGATAGCCCACGAGGTGTTGCCGTAGCCGGCTGTGCCCTTCCCGATACCGTTGATGAGGACGAGGCGGCCGTCGGGGAGGAAAATCCAGTTGCCCATGACGCGACCCTCGGGGAGAGGCTCCTCGTCGACCCAGTCGGTCGAGACGTCCGGCGTCATCGAGACGCAGGTCGAGTCGGCGGGGTAGCCGGCAATCTGCGGGCGCGCGAGTCAGCGACCGTCTCGTGTAGCTCTTCGGAAGTGCAGCGCAAAGACTCACGTTCCAGTTGGTGGTCCACTGGTCCGGCTGGAGGTCGGTTCCGCCGCAGAACATGATGGTGGCCGTCCAGTTGTTGGCCGGGGTGAGGGGCATCAACGCAGTCGCAGCGGATCCAGGGTACGTCCTGACCGCATGAGGAATGTCGGCAAGCGGGTACTCGACGTTGTTCTTGTAGTCAAAGATCTCGGTGCCGAGGTTGGCGTTGATGAAGAGGTTGCCCGAGGGGAGGAGCCAGATGAGAGGGAAGAGGTTGGCGGGGAGGGTCGTCGTGAGGAGATTGAGGCCGATGGGACCGCCGCGAGAGGGGTAGTACTCGTACGTCGGGTTGTTCTGGCCGGCGTCGTTGACGTAGCCTCCCCAGTCACATCCGCCGACCTGTGCGCCGCGCGAGACGTCAGCAAGAGCTCTCGATCGACGCTGGAAGCACACGCACGATGATGATGGTGCCGTCCTCGAGCGTCTCGAGCGTCGGATACCACCGCCGGGTCGTCATGTAGTTCGAGCCATCGTCAATCCACTCGCACGTGCCCGACGAGCAATCCAGCCTCCTCGTCGCCTTTCCACCGTCTCCATCCGTGTACGGCCCCGTGAGCGGGTTCGCGTTCAGCCCGCCGTACCCAATCGCCTGGTTCCCGCCGACGTTGATCCATGTCCCGTTGCCGAGGACGTTGCCGCCGGCGCAGAACGAGTTGGTCACGATGTCCATTGGTCGGTACGTGTTGCTGTCGTTGTCGTACTCGGTCGCCCACTGTGCGCGCATATGGAAGCGAAAGTCAGCGGAGGTTCCGAAGTCGGGATGCGCAAGACTCGTTCGAGCACGAACGCACCGCCGGGTGGGTCCCCTGCGCGCCGGTGACATTGACGGGATTGCGCTCGGTCTTGTCGACCACATAGACCTTGTTGTTCTGGGCGAGGAAGATCTGCTGAGCACTGCACGAGGCGAAGGTGCGGGAAGGTCAGTTGGCGTGTTCAGAGGCCGTGAGTGCGTCTGATGAGCCCAGTGAGCCACCCAAGCAATATCGGTACACCCTGAACCCCCTCACGAATGCACCACGGCGGTCGTTCGACTCGACCCCTGCGTCCCGACTGAGCCACACCGAGCACCATGCCACCGCCGCAAAGTCGCCGCCCAGTGCTCGAGGGCATCCCGAGAGGGTGTCATACACGCCTCCAAGTCTCCCATGACCCTCCCATAGCCTCCCGCGAGCGTTGTGGTGTCCTCCTTCGCGCAACCCCTCGCGTCCGTCGAGGATCGAGCGCCGTTGCCTCGCGACCGCTCCAGGAGAGTCGCTGAGGAATCCAGCGCAGTGTACACCAGTCCATGAGCGGGCAGATGAGCGCGCCGAGCTCACCTGACGCCCGCCTCGCCGACAATCTCGATGGTGTTGTCCTTGGGCGCGGCGAAAGCTGTCGAGGCGGCGGCGAGAGCGGCTGCGAGGCTTGCGATCGTGCGTGTGCGTGATCGCGGTGCCATGGCTGCGAGGTAGCGTGTACAGTCGAGCCGAAAGAGGGAGAAAGCGAGAATGACAAGAGCGAGAGCGGGTTGAGCGAGGAGCTAGGAGAACGGCGTCGACCCTCGCTTTCGCTTGCACGAGCGTGTGTAGCTGGATTTAGAGTGTATTGGCAGTAGTACAGCGTCCTGATTTGTCCTGCAGCGGCGCCCTTTGACTTTTCCCTCCGCATCCTCACCCTCGTCGCGTCCTCGTCGCGCTCGACCCCGCTCACCTCGACCGAGGGTCCCGCCAAAAACAGCCTGCGACGTGCGGCAACGTCGACGGCGACGGAAATGGGTGCCGTACGAGAGCGGAACCCAAGTGCGAGCGCGCGAACTCGAGTCTCCCTTGCGAAGGTCGACTCGCTCTCTCGCCCGCTTCAACCGGCTCGCAACGACACTTGCTGCTGGTCGTAAGTTACGCTCCAGCTTGACGGCGAGGCCCTCGCCCGGCTACGTCAAGCGCCAAAGCGGCGCCCCATCGACTCGGCTGCCTTGATCGACAAACGCTCACTGCTCTCGCTCGCTCTGGCTTGCGCTCTTGACACTCACTGACACTCGAAACGACAACACAAGATGGTCTACACCCTCGGTGCGCCTGCCCCGGACACGCAGCGATGACGCGAACGACTTGCGCTCTTCGTGAGCTGATCGTGCTGATGCCGTCCTCTCCTTGCTCTTGCTCCTGTTCTGCGGGCACTGCTCGTCGCTGTAACTCCCGTGCCTGCCTTTCGCCTCCTCGTCTCGACCGACGACCTCACCTGGCGACTTTCTTCTCCTCCTGCAACCGACTTCTCCTCCTCATCGCCCTTCCTGCAATTCCACAATCCACCATACCCACCCACTCGTCTTCTCTTCCCCACCCACCAGTCTGCAACGTCCACGTCAAGCCCGCGCACATCAGCGACATGCAATCCGAACTCCGCAGGGCGCGCGAGATCTACGAGAAGGACTCGGAGACGATCGGGTGGCATGTCATGCAGCATGAGAAGGAGCCGAGCAGGTTTTGCAGTGAGTCGCGTAATTGAGTGGTCGGTGGATGGAACGCACAAGGGAGGGAGGGCGGACAAGAACGGTGAGCGGTTGGACGGCTGATCCAACGCTTTACGTCCGCACAGTCGTCGAGCGGTTCATGCACGAAGGCTCGTCGCAGCAAGAACACCTCTCGAACCCATACTGGAAGTGTGTCGTCTCGTTCCTCCCAAGCATCCCGTCTCTCCAACCTGTCCTCTCTTCCGCATCCTCCGGCCTTCAGACCAATCCGCAGGAGTTGACTTGCGTCCTCGCCGCAGGGAGTTCAACCCGACTGTTGAGCCGTGGCTCGAGAAGCCCATCGAGATCCTCCGCTTCAACGAGTTGTAGACTCGCGACACACGACTGAAAAACGCATCGATGCGACGCTCTGCCCTCTCCGTTACCTGTTCCACTCCGCTGCGAGCGAGCAAGCGGATGTGCCCCGACGTCGAGTGACAGAAGCCTGAGAAGGCCCGTCTCGTTCCAGCTCTCTCAAGCGCTACTTCTTCCCCTTCTGCGTCAGTCTCCTCGCCAGCACAATCCCCGTCTGCGCCGCCCCAACCGGCAGCTCCTCCCTCCCCGCCCTCTCCTCCATCTCCCTCAACGAACTCGACTCGACCACCTCGGCCCAATGCTCGACTACGTAGTCAAGCACGACGTCTCGCACGGCTGGGTAGGTCGTGACGGTGGAGGAGTAGAGCTCGTAGGCTGCCTTCGAGGGGGTGAGTTGCGTGCGGAGGTTGTCGAGTGCGAGGGAGGAGAGCGAAGTGAGCGAGAGGAGGTGCGCGAGGCGATAGACGGATTTGGGTGAGGAAGGGAGCGGGAGGGCAGGATCGCTTTGCAGGGCTTTGAGGGGGGTAAGGCGGGTGGACGCAGGCGCTCCCTTGAACGACGACGAGAGTGGCGCGAAGGCGATGTAGCGCGACCTGAGCCAGACGAGGACGTTGGCGTAGGTCGTGTAGCTCGTGTCAGTGATCTTGACTAGCTTGAAGGGGACGTTGGGCAGCGCTTCAAAGCGGGCAGGAGGCAGGCTCGCGTCCGTCTCGTCGTCGGAATCCTCGCTGGAAGAGGTCTCGTCGCTTTTCGCGCTGGTGAGAACGCTCTTCAAGGTCTCGAAGGAGTCTGTCGTCGAGTTCTCGGCAAAGTCGGAAGAAAAGAGCGTCTTGAAGTAAGGCGAAGCGGCCGAAAGAGACTGCTCACTCGCCCAAAGAACCTTTTGAGTGCGTGGGAAGACGAGAGCGACATCGTGAGGGACTTGGCGGCTCATATACACTGCGCGCGAGACAGCGATGTGTCAGCGGCAGTCAAGAGCAGCACGGGAAGACTCACTTGCGCTCGAAACCGCGTTAAGCTGTCGCTCCTCATGGAGCATTGGCTCGAGCGTTGGACCCGCTGGCGGGGCGAGACTGAGAGAGATCTCGATGTGCACCTTCGAAGGCGATCCATCCTTGTCTTTTGAGCTGTAGAAAGCGCCTTGAGGAGTAGAAGGGAAGGTACTGGCGAGGAGGGTGAAGTCCATGATTCCTTTGTTGCCTGCGCGTACCAGGATTCGTCCGCCGGAGATTCGCATTGGCACCGAGTCCCACCATCGCAGGGCGTAGCGGTAAACTTCGCGGTCATAGGTGAACTGGAAGCGGAGGGGAAAGTCCGGCGATTCGACTTGGTGAGGCGTCGTCTTGGTAGCGGCGCTGCCGTACGAAAGGCGTCTATCGGGCCACTGAAGTGTGACATCCCGCGAAAGCGTGAGCGTCGAAGGCATGGCGCTAGAGCGTGATGCGAGCGAGCGAGGTGAAGTGAAGGAGATCAAGCGAAGAGAGGAGCGTGCACGGCGTGAGCTGGGGGTCCGTGACGAACCGAAGTGTTGCCTGCTGGTTGAAAGGTCTGCACACGACGCACAAGCGCATCGACCGAAGGAGCGCAAAACGGAAGGCGCTGAACCGGGAGCGCACAGAAACGACGGCTCTCTTCGCATCGTCGGGTCAGCTGGCTGCCGTTCGCGAAGTCGAGAGCGCTTTCCTACTCGCCCTACACCATCCTGCTCCTCCCACCGCCCTCAGCACCGCTAGGCATCCCCCTCTCTTCCAACCCTCCGACGCCGAGTCCTCCCAGTCGACCAGTCGGCGGTACCGCCCTTTCTTCGCTTCTTCGACCCTGCGAGGAGGCCGAGAAGGACAGGCGAGTTGGCGGCGAAGATGAGAGGGCGAGGGCGCGGCGGAAGTCGTCCGTTTCTGGCGGCTCGTAGCCAGTGACGGCGGGCAAGTAGTCGGACGGCAAGGCGTTGCCTGCGAGAAGCGACATGAGCGATTACTCAGGCAGGACGCGGGCTGGTACTCACTTTCTTGCAGAGCCGTTCGCAGAATGGCGCCGGTGCGGTCGAGCGAGTACAGGAAGCGTAGCAGTTCTCGGCAGAGCTGCACAAGCATGTGTCAGTTGGTGTGAGGGCAGTCAGTGTCTGCGTAGCGCACCGTCCATTCGCCTGCGTCCATCGCCGTCTTGAGTAGCCGCACCGTATCCTGCGCGAGAGAGTCGGTCAATCGTCAGGGGGGATGAGAAGCGGGCGAGGAACTCACCTTGCTACTCTGCTCGAGGGGCTCGAGGTTGTGCAGGACGAGAAGGTAGGACGCCGCGACCTTGAGAAAGCCGGAAGTGATACATTTCTGCGAGCGAAGGTTGGGTCAGCGAGCGAGCTCTCGCAGGCGTTCCGCCAACTTACCTCAAACAAGTCGCGAGGCTTGCCGACGATATCGAAGAGGAACTCCCACCGCGTGACCTCCGTCTTTCGCGCGCAGTTGACGACGACTTGCAGGCATTCATCGAAGTGGTCGAGGAAATCGATAACGCGCGGCAGAACGAGCGAGTTCGACTGCGTGTCCTTCTGCGCATCGGCTTCGTCCTCTAGCACGTCGTGCAGGAGGATCTCCAGTGCGTGTGCGAAGTAGACGAGGTGCTGGTAGAAGGAGGCGAAAAGAACCGCTTCCCGTGGTTGGGAGCGGTCGAGGTGGAAGCGGAGGATGTGGTGAATGAAGAGGTGGGTCTGCGAAGAAAGCGTCAGATATAGCGCAAGACCGAAGGAAGAGATGCGCGCGCGCACAGTGGTGATGATGCGGAAGATGGCAAAGTCGAGCGATCTTCGCAGGGACGTCTCCTGGTCGACGCCGACGATGATGCCCTTGTCCATGAGGACGGCTGCGTGCGAGAAGAGGTCAGTACGAGCTTGTACCCAGAGATATGTCGCAGCGGCGCACCCAGCGGGTAAAAGTCGAGCGAGATCCCGACGCTCTCCTTGACCGTCTCGTATGCATCTCTCCGCGCATCGACCCGCACCTTCTCGATCGTCAGCGCATCGAGCCAAATGCGGATCTTGTGACCATCCCACGCCCACAGCGAGTTCTCGAGAGTTCCGATGCCGCTCAGGTGCGTCCAGTAGAACTCGACCTGGTCGGCGAGGATCTGCAGGTCGTACTTGACTTCCTCGGAAGCGGCTCGGCGAGGTCGCAGGAGGACGAGGCGACCGGAGATCAGGAAAATGATGGTCGCGACGTTGAGGTCGTCTGCGGGATCTCCGAAGCCTGCGAGACGAGTACCGGTCAGTTTCGATTTGCAAGGGCGGCTCGCGCGACGCACGCTGTTGTGACTTAGGAACGAGCCAGCTCAAGCCCCTGACCTTCCTCGGATCGGCAACGACGCCTTCGAACCCGATGCTGCCGCAGACTCGCAGTCTCGGCGTCGAGCCTCGCACATGTCGGATGAGGAAGTGGTGGAAGGTATTGTCGGCGGTGTAGACAAGGAGGGAGGAGTCGAAGACGGAGAGGACGAGCGGTTCGGAGTCGAGAGGGACGATCTCGAGCGAGTCGGCAAGGGTGAGAGGCTTGTCGCGTGAGAAGAGGCGAAGCTGCGCGACAGATGGGTAGGGCGATCAGCTCGCAATCTGCGGAGATCGATGAAGGACGCACTTGATATTGCCCACCCTCGAGACAGCCAACGATGAGAACGTTCCCCCACCAAGCCATGCCGCCAACAATCTTGATTGCCTCTTCTTCCTTCTCCATCTCGAACAGCTTCCACCGACCGCTCAACGCATTGTAGTGCGTCAAGCCTCGCTGACCGGCAACGGCGATGAGGCGAGCATCGGAGGAGATGACAGCGTAGCGGATCGGGTACTGCGTAGCGATGTAGGGCGCCGGGATCTGCAGGCGAAAAAGGTTCGTCCTCACGAGCTCTGCAGACGAGGGGCAGAAAGACGCACTTTGATGTGCTGCCAGACGTCCGACTCCGGGTTGATGACGCTCATGTCCGGCTGATCTGCTCCTCGGTACACGAGCACTCGGTCGTCCATCTGCAGGAAGGCATTCTTCGTGTTGTCCTGCAGGCTGGGAATGTCAGCTCCAGCAAGTTAATCCAGTCAGACAGGACAGGCGAACCGGAGTATGCGCAGCCGTAACCGCGCTCTTGGCGAAAGGAACGACGAAGAGCTGCTCGTCGTGCGCTAGATGGAGGTGGAGGTGAGCATGCGTCGCGAAGAAGCAAGGAGGGTAAGAGACGCACGTTTCCGCTTCGGGTGAACTGGTGGCGGGCAGAGGACGAAGAGTTCGGTGTTGCCGGGACTCCAGAACTGCTCAGAATGTTCGTCAGTTCGCGATCATGGTCGTGGCAGAACGGTGACGCACAAGAGCCCGGACACCCATCATGAACCCATCCTCGAAGCTATCGCTCTTCTCGCCTTCGACGCCGTACCCTCCGCCGTCGAGGGAGCCAGCGACGCTCCACGAGCCCAGTCGGCCATAGACCGACCAGACAGACCACCCAAGCGACCAACCGCACGCAAGCCCGTAACCATCGGAAGTCCTGCGGCAGGCGGGGTCGTCAGCGAAAGAAGGGGCGGACAGGAAGGAACCGAGTAACCATGCAAGACACTGGACGCGACCGGTCGCTAATGCACTAGCAGTCGTGTTGAGCGAGTCGCGAAGAGAGGATGTGTGCGAGAGGGTCGGGACGGAAAATCGGTCGCTGCGTTTCGATCGCCGAACTTGACCGGGCGGGGGCTCGAGCGAGTAAACCGCGATGGTGCCGCTGCGGAGCACATGTCAGCAAGCTAAACTCGAGCACGAGCATGGCGGAACGCACTCTTCGCAGCCAACGGTGACCAGGCCCATCTGCTCGTTCAAATCCACCGCACTCGCGCCTTTCCCTTTATCCAGCTCCTTCTCCTGTGCTGCGACCCATTCCTCACTGCCTCGCTCGCCAGGAGCAGCCGGATGAAAGCAGAGGCCTGTCCACGTCCAGCGATTTGCGGCGAGGTTGGGTCCGCTTTCGTCGGTCGGCGAGAGAGGCGAAAGTAGGGAAGCGGTCGATGCGCCTGCCGGCGTATACAAAGGGGTGGCAGCGTCGTGTGAAGGGGCTGGAGGTGCCCATCGGACGATGTAGGCGCGACCGTCCGAGGTTGTCATGATGAAGGTCGTGGCGTGTCGAGGCGTGGCGGGTGGATGAAGCGAGTATGACGAAAGCGAGGCATAGGATGACTGACGAGAGAGGGTGCGGTAAGGCGGAAGTGGCGCGGCGTTTGAGGCGGATGAAGAGTCGGACAGCGGGGTCAGGGTGGAGATGCTGACTGAGAAGCGGAGGATGTCAGCAATAGGCAGCGGAATGCCAGGAACTACGAGCGCACCATCTTTTCTGTCTCGTCCGACGAGCCAGTCCCACTCGTCGAGGACGACCGCTTCAGACTCGCCTTCACCCGCCAGTCCCGCGGGCAGGCTGTCCCAACCTGAGCCTCTTCGCTGAACTGGAGGTGGTGCTGGTCGACCGAAGGTAGGGAGGCGCGACGTCGAAGCTGATGCTTCGGATGAGATGTTCGGAAAGGGGATGACGCGGAGAGAGGGCGGGTCTTGAACAGCGACGAGGAGGTCGGAGGGCGTGACGCAGACGCTGTGATGTGCAAGTCAGCCCTGCTCCTGGAAGCTTCCGAAACTACACTCACCAGCCCACGCCGTCGCCAATAGCCATTCCTCGCTCGCCTTCGCCGCGCAACACGATGCCCTCGAGCGCTTGTCCTTCGCCCGGTCCCTTCGGCCACGCCTGCGCCGCCTTTTCTCCGCCAGGCAGGACATAGACGTCGTTTGCTCCCTTTCTGTTGGGATTCGTGACGACCGGCGAAAATGAGTAGAGCAGGTGGTGGCCTGAGGAAGTCGTGACAACGAGGCGAGAGGGACCGTGGAAGTGAACGGCGGCGTTCGAGCCGTGCGTCCGCAGCGAGATGGGCGTTCGGCGCAGCTTTGCGAGCACGACCTTGGGCTGTTGCATGACATCAGCTTGCGCAAAGAGCACGGGAAAGCGGGAGGAAACGCACGCGGATGCTCCAGACGCTCACTTCCTCCCGCCCGAGTGCAACCCAGAGCGTCTGCGGGCTCGCTCCCGCATTCTCGCCATCTCCGACTTCCGGTCCACGAACGATGCTGAGGATCTCCTCGCCCTCTTCCTCCTGCACGCCTCCAAGCGAGTCCTTGAACTTGCCCTTTGAAGGGCGGCCTGGCGTCTTGTAGACCGATGTCTTCGCTGATGGCGACGGTCCGACGGGTACTTCAGACGTCGATATGGACAGCCGCGTCGTCGGCAGAGGCGAGGGGAAGTACATCGCTGTCTGGAGAGATGAGGCGTGGTGAGTGGGGGTGAGTGAGCGGACGAGGCGCGCTACGCACCGGTGGACGGGCACTGTTAGCCCCAATGACCACTACAGAGCACAAATCGAGCCTAGCGAGTCCAATCCAGCGATGACAGCGGGGAGTAACGAGCGAACCGCGAACCCCCTTGCCTCGACCGTCCTTGGGAGAAGGACACCTGCTCACTTCGCTCTGACGGCTTGTTCGTGACTTGAGATGCCTACAACACACCTATGCACACCATACGGGCCAACCGATCACCCTCCCACGCCTGCGAGGTGGAAGAAGCGACCCCGTCTCGCCCTTCAGTCAACCTCGGCCGTCAACTCGCTCGCAGCGCCAGGCAGGGGTGCTGAGGACGTCAAGGGGAAGGGAAAGGCTGCTGAGGGCGCTGTATTGGCCGCTAAGGGCGCTCGACCGTGGAAAGAAGCGGGTACGCTCCCTCTTCCGCTCAATACCCTCCCTCTCGAGTTTAACAAGCGCGTTTTGTGCGCAGATGCTCTCCTGCAGCAGTCTTTCAGTATCTACAGGACCACCGGATTGCACTCCCTACCGCTCGCCTCGTCGTCGACCTCGTCCTCCCAATTCTCCTCGTTCGCACAATCCCTCCAAGCCTACATCTCGCAGCAACTAGCTCTCGAGGCAACGGGAAGCTCTCGCACTGGCCGAAGGATCAAGCGCACCAAGCGAGTCGAGGCGGGCTATGTCGACGTCCCGCTCCTCGGCAAGGACGGTGCAAGACCGGTCATGGTCGAGATCGAGCTGGGCGAAGGCAGCGACAACTGCCCATCGACGAGCAAGAGCAGAAGCGCCAGGACTCAGCGCACGTCGACCTTCGTCTTCCTTCCGCACGCGACCAGCAACTCGTTCTCCCTCCTGCTCGTCAAGTCCGCTGTTCCTGCCGCCGTCCACCTCTTCTCGACCTTCCTCTCGACCCGCTTCGATGCCCTCATTCATCCCTTCCGCATTCCTCCGCCTCGTATGCTCGACCTCCTCCAGGCGCTCGTCCTCCATCGCGATCGTTCGCTGGCAGAGACAGCCTCGACAGACGAGACCGCCCTCGCAACAAACATGACCTTTGCCTTCCCTCCCAACATTGCCAGAGAGGGCCTCTCCACCATGACGCTCACCCTCCCACCCGCCATCCTCCCATCACTCACCGCCGACTCGTCCTCCTCCTTCGTCTCCGGCCTCACCGCTCATATGATCCAGACAACCTCGATCCCGCTTTCGTCTCTCTTCCTCGTACGACTCGGTGCGGGACGCGGGACTTTCATCCATTCGGGTCAGGGTGCGGGCGAAGGCGGCGCGAAAGTCAAGTTCTTCCGGGGAGCGGAAGAGGGAGGCGAGATCAGGCGGGTCTTGGAGGAGCTAGTGCGAGCGGCGGAGGCTACGAGAAGGGCCAGTAGCGGTTCTGTGTGAGCTGGGTGGTATTTCGTGCTGTATCTATCGTGTTGTTGCCGCTTCGTTGACGCCTTGGGAAGGTCCCGCCTGTCCTCGACTTTCTCGCTCGTCTCGTCGCGTGGGCTGACATCTAGCAGCGTAGAGGCCATCGCAAGTGCTGAGATGCCCCTGGACTCAACCGGCGGGGTGAGAAGAGCTGCGAGACCAAGCGATGTCCCGCTGCTGCCTCTCTCCCTCGCTCTTCTCCCTCACCTGCTCTGTCTCCTCCGGCCAGAGCTACAGCAGCGCCAGGGTTTCTCGACGGTCATGTTCAGCCTCGCCCCCCTCGCCGCCTACCTGCTCGCGCTCGTCCTCGCTGTCTTCGCCTCGCCTATTGTAATCGGCGAGTCCCGCTTCCTCCCGTCTCGCCCGCCCTTGAGACAGTTTTGACTGACCTTTACGAGTCGCTCGCAGTCCCTCCTGGCGGTCCGGCGCCGTTCCTCCGCCCCGCTTCGCCGTTCGACCCGCTTCCCTCCACCGACTCGCCCTCCATTCTCCCCGCTAGTCCCTACTCGACAGACGCGGAGGGCAAGATCCACTTTGATAGCAGGAGGTGGAAGCTTCAGCGCGAGGGCCAGAAGCAGGTCTGCATGCGGGACGTGTACGGTGCTTCAGGTGCGTCCCCTTCTCTCGCTTCAGGCGCCCGTGTTTGACGGCGGCGTAGCGCTGATTGCGTGCGTGGATCTCACAGCCGGCTTCGACTTTGCCCTCAAGAACAAGGCTCTCGTCAAGACTCGTTCGTCCCCCTTGGCCTCCTGCTCTCGGCTATCCTGACGCTTGCCTTCGCAGCCGAAGGAGCTCACGTCTCAATCTCTGAATCATTCAAGCTCGACTACGATACGACTCGCGTCTTCTACATAGAGGCGTGTCTCCCGTACGGCATAAAGGGCTGGCTCGGTCAAAATGGAGGCGGGTTTGGGTTTGACCTTGGTTCCAGGGATAATACAACGGTCAAGAGTACGTTCCAAGCGCCTCACGACGTTGCTTCTGCGCTGACGAAGCCCGCCCGCAGTCACGGAAGACAGGAAGGTTCAGTCGTCGTCGGCCAAGTCTCCCTCTGCGGCTCAGGCGGAAAAAAAAGCTGAAGATTCCGCCAACCTCATCCTGTAGTACTCGCCTGTGTTCTCTCTTCGCTTTCTTACGTGCCAGGGACACTCTCTTTGTTTAGATGAGGGCGAGGAGACGAGAGAACCGCTGGACTAAGATTGCCAGAGGATGGCGACGACAACAAGGATGAGCGGTGCGGAGCGAGGATGAAGGTGACCTGTGAGAGCAACCCACGTCAGCATCCTCGAAGGAAGCCAAAGACCGTCAGACTGCACTCACAGGCGCTCCCGGCTATCGCACCTCGACCGGCGGCGCATTGACCGGGATCATTCCCCAAGTGAACCTCTCCGCCTTCCATAGCGCCATCTCCTCGTTTGATCGCTCCTTCTTCTCGTCGAGTGCGGCGTACGGGTCCTTCGTCGCGTTCGGAGCAGCTGGCGCAGCGGCTGGCTGGGAGAAAGCGCCGAAGGTGGATTGGCCGAAGGCTGACGGTGCTGACGGGGCCGAGGAAGCTGCTGGCGCGCTCAGGGCGCTGCCGAATGCACCGAAACCGCCAGATCCGAAAGCGCCCGCGGCGGGCGTTGTTGTCGCAGACGTCGCCGTATTGGCCGCTCCGAAAGGCGAAGTAGCGGCAGGAGCAGCCGGCTTCGCAGCCCCAAACGCGCCGAACCCTCCGCCTGCTGTCCCTCCACCACCGAACGCGCTTCCCGCCGTTCCTCCCGAGCCAAAGGCGCTCGCTCTTGTCGTTCCGCTCGCTCCGAACGACGATGCGCCCGTCGTTGTTCCACCTGCGCCGAACGCGCTCGTCGAAGGCGCAGCCCCGCCCGAGCCGAACGCGCTCTGTCCGAAAGCTGGCGTAGTCGTCGCGGGCGCAGACGTGCCTCCCGCAGCGAACGCCCCGAAGCCTCCCCCTCCTGCAGCAGGCGCCGTGCTCGCTGATTTTGGCGCCGAACCGAACGCGCCGAATGCTGAGCCGCTAGCGGGTGTTGTCGAGCTGGCGGCGGCGCCAAAGCCAGACTGGCCGAATGCTGAACCGGTTGCTGCGGGTTGACCGAATGCTGATGTGCTGCCAAAGCTGGACGAGCCGAATGCTGGAGTCGTAGATGAGCCGAAGGCAGGCGCACCGAACCCTGAGGCAGGCGTCGTCGTCGAGGTCGTTCCGCCTGAGCCGAACGCAGACGAGCCGAACGCAGGCTTCGGGGCATTCCCTCCTGCGCCAATTGCTGAACTGCCGAACGCGCTCGTCCCCGTCGTACCGCTCCCTCCTGCTCCGCCGGCAAACGCTCCGAAACCGCCTCCCGCCCCGCTTGTCGTGGTTGCTGCGCCGAAACCCGTCGCAGGCTTGAACCCTGATGCACCTCCGCTACCGAAAGCAGACCCTCCCGCCGGTGCGCTCCCGCTCGAGCCAAACGCGGTGGTCGATCCGAAGGCAGACGGCTTGTTCGCTGCCTGGCCAAATGCGCCAAACGCGCTGCTCGACGATGCAGGAGTGCCGAATGGAGTTGTCGAAGCCGCACCGCCGAACGCAGAGGGTGCAGCTGGTGTCGCGGGAGCCGCACCGAAAGCACCGAAACCTGTTCGTTGAGGTGTAGCCGCTGCAGGACTGCCGAAGGGGGTTGCCGGCGCAGGGGTAGAAGATGTCGACGCATCGGCGTTGGCAGAAGACGAGGATTGGGTGATGGCGAACTGGTAGGCTTGGTCGAGGTTCGACAAGATGTTTTGGACGGCAGCTTCCGCCTTCTGCGCGAGGTCTTGCTCGGGCTGCGGGAGAAGTACTGTCAGACCGATTCGGTCTCGAGGAAGCGAGTACGCACGTAGAGAGACGGGTTGTTCTGGCTTCGCGCCGCGTAGAACTGGACGCGCAGCTCCTCCGGGCTGACATCGAGCCCCTTGACAACGCTCGCCTCTCCCTTGCCCGGTCCGTACGACGAGAGCACATATCGCGGTCGTTCGGTCGTCAAGTCGGTCTTGATGCTGTCTCGGCTGTTGCGTGGCGAAGGTCAGGTCTGCTGCAAGAGTCGCGCGGCGGAGGAGGCTCACCTGAAGGAAGCGCCCGCTGGATTCGGGTTGCCCTTCGTGGGGATGTTGCCATGCGAGTTTCGACAGTCTGCACCAAATTGGCAGCGCCCTTGCTGGAAGAAGCGGCAGACTGGCGGAGCGTTCGAGGACATGGCGAAGCGCGGTCGGGTGGAGCTGCACAGGTCACTGGGAGTCAGCGCGCGCTCGAGGAAGCCTCGAGTAGCACAAGGAAGCGTACCGGGCTCACTGCACGAGCGCTGGCACCTTCTGTACCGAGTTGTGGACGATGTCAACCTGGAACTGATGAAGTGGGCGAGGCGGGTAGACAACGACGGCGGGCGCTGCAGCGTGTGCGGTTGCGGTAGAGGGAGTCCAAAGCTAGCGTGCAGCTTGTCGACAAGCTTCGGCGAGATGAGCGAGTGTTGCGGTCGAGGTCAAAGTCGTGAAGGACCCCCTCTCTCAAGCGGTACTCCGCCAGTTCTCTCCTTACTGCTCAGGATGCTCTCAAACTACATCGACTCGTCAAGAGTCGGCTCAAGACTTGCGGGAGAGAAGTAAGATTGCGGGAAGCGAGTTGTGAACGAATCTCCAGCTCGTCTACAGCTCCTCCTTGCCCGGCTTGCGGTTCTTGATGTCGAGCAGCTCGACGTCGAAGACCAATGTAGCGCCTGTGCATGCAAACGCGTCAGTCAATCATGCAGAGGACGGAGAGAACGGCGAGGCGAAGGCGCGAGGGGCGGAGACGCCTCGAAAAGGCGGGCCAAGTACAGAGAGCAACGCACCGCCGGGAATGGGGCCAACTCCTCGCGAGCCGTAGCCAAGCTCGGGAGGGATGGTGAGCGTACGCTTCTCGCCCGGACACATGTCGAGGAGGCCATTGTCCCAACCCTTGATGACCATGCCTTTGCCGACTGCCCTTGAAGTGCGCGGGTCAGCACGCTGAAGAGAGTATGAAGGGAGCCCCTTTACGCACGCGTGAAGACGAACGGCTGTCCCCTCTTCCTCGAACTGTCGAACTCCTTGCCAGAGTCGAGGCGGCCGTCATAGTGCATAGACAGCGAGTCTCCCTTCTGCGACTTGATGTAGCACGGCGTGGGCTTGTACGTCGTGTCTGTGCGAGCATCTCGTCAGTCTTTAGGTGTTCATCGCGATGAGGTGGGGCAGACGAACCAATCTTCAAGCCAGCGGTCGACTCGGGGACAGACTGTGCTGCCGCGCCCATCGCCGAGTACGACGAGAAGCCTAGAAGAGCTACGCCAACGGAGAGCATGGCGAGCCAGGTTCGGTTGGAGATGCGGTGACGAGCTGCCATCGTGGGAGGTGCAGAGGGGAGAGGGCGGCGAGATCTGGTGTGCGCGTGTGCAGGAAGGTGTGAGGTCAGAGAGCCGACGGATTGCGAGCTAAGAAGCTTGGGCAGGCGTGAAGAGAGGGAGGAAGGGCAGAGGGACTAGGAGGAGGAGCGGGTCGGCGACAATGGTTGGAAAATGGTCGATGATTGGGCTTACGAGCGCACGGGGCTCACTTGCACGCAAGAAGGAACAAGCTGAATAGAAAGGGCGAGAGTGACGGAGGAGAAGTCGCCAGACGAGGAGCGAAAGCTGCGTTCCAACGAACAATGCACGACAAAGAGCTACGACGGAGAGAAAGGAGGATCCCGCACCGCGGTTGGAACGGGCGGCACATGTGAGAAGAGGGGGAGGAAGGGAGAAGCGAAAGCAGTGAGGAGAGACGACTGTCGAGGAAAGGTTCGACCCGAATGTTGCGCGATAACTCCCGCTTTTCGCGTCGATAGCTCCCGCTTGTGACGTCGACATGACGTACTCGCCCGAGGCGTCGTAGCCGCGCTGAGCGAGGCCTGTGCGAGGATGAGGGATGGTCAGCGAGAGTAAAGCGAGAAGAAAAGCGACACTCGAACGCCTCGTTGCGGTTCTTGCTGTCCTTGTTGAAGCCTGCGCAGACGATAGAAGGTCAGCTGAACTTGGACAGCGCGCGTTGAGCGAGAGGGAGCACACTAGTCTGGTCGTAACCGTCCTTGCCGAGGCCCTTCGCGTCCCGGACTGTTCAAAGCGAAAGCGGAGGGTCAGGCATTGCTTCCAGAGCTCGAGGAGTGAGAACGGGACGCACTACACCTGTCGCGAGCATCAGATCCCATCCCGTTCGAGTCGAAGAACGAGCCGTCCATTCCTTGTCGAGCGACGACTGCTTGTTGTGGTCCGGGGTCGCCTGCGTCGTCTGCTTCGTCAAGTGGACTGCAAACGGGAACCTCCAAGAAGCGCTCGGCGGATGAGCTTGTACGTGCTGCGGGCAGGGCGAGCTTGAGTACGCCTCAAACGGCAACGGGGTGCGAGAAGGCGGGAGGACTGCGGGCGCCGAAGATTCAGGTGTATCGCGAGGCGTGATTATGCACCGTGCGCGCACCCGCATCGCATGTCTGTCCGGTGCGGCAAGAGGAGCGAACACCAGCACAACCGAGCCAGGTCCGAAAGTACCCACTCGGTTTCTGTGAGCACCTCAATAGTAGGTCGAAGCTTCATACAGTAGCAACGTGGCCACGTTCGCACGCAAAGCCCCGGGCGAGGCGCGAGCGAGGGGCAGGTCGAGGGAGAAGGAAGGTGCGTCGAGGTCGAAGCGGGCCGGCCGATCCTGCGTCGGTTGCGTGAGCAGCTGCTCCGAATAAACACACCACTGCAAACTCTTTTCGCCAGCTTCGAGTCCGCCGCAAGCTGCCGGTCGCGAGCCTGTTCGTCCAACTGATGAAGATCGGGAGGAGGAACTGGAGCGAGTCGAGGCGAGCGGGAAGGGCGGGCAGCTCGAAGCTGTGGTTGCTTGGGGAGTATTGGAGCCCTGCAGCGCATCTTCAGACCCTTACAGCGAGTTGATGGATTGTGGTCGTCGCTCAACCTGTGTCGCCCTCCTCGACGATGAGGTTGAGCGGCAACAACGCGCTCGCTTACTGCTAGAGACGCTTACCGCTACTCCAGACACTGCTAGGAATGGCCTGCATCCAATGCCACACGAGCTGGGCGCAGTCGCTTCTCACCGACGTCGCCTGGCCTCTCCTGCTCGCCCTCGTCGCCCTCGTCGCCAACTTCGTCCGTGCGCGTACAACTCGTCAGAAGGCTCGCACGGGGAGTATTGCGAAGGTCGAGTAAGGCGAGCATGCTGCATATACGGTAACGGTGACTTCTCGCCACGAGGCTTGTCGGATCTCGCTCATCTCCCTATGGTTCTGCACGTCCTGTGCAAACGCAGGCAATCCCGAGTAGAATCACACAGTCAGCCTGGTATGTACTCAAGGTATGTAGGAAGCGTTGACGGCCGCGTGACCCCTTTAGACACCTGAGGAACCTAGTGACCATCTTTATTCCCCTCGCAGAGCAGCGCGCTTAGGAGCGGGCTTAACGCTGGCACGAATGCGATCTTTAGCTGCAGGTGGAGGGTGCCGGAGCTGTGCGGCCGCAGCCTCTGAAGGCCAGGCGTTCGTGAGTCTCTGCTTTCCGCTTCTTCGAGAATCGCGCTGACCTCCTCTACATCTCTGCGTAGCCGTGTTCGCGGTCAAGTACGGGGAGGTGGTCCTCTTCGGTGCGTTTACTCGCTATCCCTCGCTCGAGACATCGCTCCCTGTCGGTGAAATCCTCTTGCACGCAGAGCTCGGCGATCAGGTCTCTCACACGACAGCAGCGCACGGATGTGAGCAAGGAGGTTCTGAGGAGGAGTACGAGATGTATGCTTGTTACAGAAGGGCGCGGAGATTGAAGTGAGTCTCCTTCTCCTCTGATTTCTTCGTCTCATGCGAGATAACCTGGGCCGCTTCTCTGCGCGCAGTTTGCGCAGCGTTGATATTCTCGCCAGCAAACGCGGCCTCATCGGTTCGCTGGCTTCCGGCGTCCTTGAAAGCTCAGGCGGTACTCCTACTGATCGAGTTTTTGCGGCGCTGACCCTCCGGCGAGGCTCGTGAGCTGTCTCCAGGGTCGTCGAGTACTCGCACGGTTGGCACGAGCACGCGATGGTCGCGGCGTACGTATTCACCAGGACTTCCTCTGAAGTCTCGCTGCTGCTCTCGCAGCGTCTCTCCGCCATCCTCGCCCGGCGCTGCCCGACTTCTCGACTCGGCGTGCTCTTCTCAACCATCAGGACTCGCATTTGAGCGGACGGACTCGCCGAGACGACGAAGCGAGCGAGTGAAGCGTTCTCGAGGGATTTGACCTTCCTGAATTGCTTTCAGCTTGCGCTTGCGGTGAGCGCAGCCCATCGGAGAGCCTTACGCGCTCATGCGACAACATACAGACGTCGTACGACGCCCGCTTCGCCTCCCCGGAGATGTCAACATGAACGAGACTTTGACATCTTGAGAGGCGGGGAAGCTCTCTCTCTCTCCCCGTTCAATCTTCGCTCCACCTCGCGGACTCGTACTATCGACGCTCCAAACGACATGTACGGTCGCGGTGGACCATCCTATCCGTCCAGGGGACGCGGCGCGGGGTGGAACGGTCGAGGAGGACGAGGAGGACGAGGAGGAGGGGGAGGGCCAGGTCGCGGCGGAGCAGGCGGAGGAGGCTTTGGAGGGCAGCAGCAGGGTGGGGCACCTCGTCAACAGTCTCCGCCGCGGCCCAGCCAGCCACTCACGACGAGGCCCGTCACTGTCGCCGCCAAGCAAGTCACTCTCGGACAGGCAGCTATGCCTGAGCCCCTCACTCGCCCGCACTACATCGTGTCCGAGTGCGTCGGACAGTCTCACTGGAACGTGTTGGGCCGAGCTGACCGGGCAAGCTTGCGCGCAGGCCGGCGAAGTCTATTTTGCTCACGAGCAACTGCTTCGACTTGACCATCTCGGAGAACGACAGCGAGTGGTACAGGTATAAGGTGCGTGCGCTTCGTAATTGCCGACCCCCCTCTCATGCTGACGCTGGAGCAATCGGCGCCCGCAGGTCGACATCACCGCTGACGACCGCACCGACGCCCAAGCAAACGACGGCGCTTCTCGCGGCGCGCCTTCCAAGAGCGTCCTCCGGCTCGTTTGGCAAGAGCTCGAGCGTCGCGAGGCGGCGAAGCCGACGCACTTCGGCGGCATCCGTCCCGCTTTCGATGGCAGGGCGGCGGCCTACACGAAGAGGCCGTTGCCTGACCCCGGCGACGGCGTCATCTGCGTGAGTGATGGACCTTCTTGACGCTGACGCTTTCTATCCTCACTCACGCTTTCACCTCGCGCAGATCTCCGGCATTCCCGCCCCTGACCGTCCTCGCATGACCTTCACGGTGAAAATCTCCGACGTCAACCCTCTCCCCTTCGCCTCGCTCCGCTCCTACTACTCCGGCACCGGCAGCTTCCGCTTCGACCACGTCGCCGAGGCACTCCAGGCGCTCAACACGCTCATTTCGCAAGGCCCGTCCGCCGAGTTCTTCGGCACTCGCACGTCGTTTTTCCCGACCGACTCGGCCGCGCAACGCCTCGGCGGCGGCATCAAGAAGGAGAGCGTCCGCCTCAACGGCTACATCGAGCTCCTCCGCGGCTGGTTCCAGAGCGTCCGCACTTGCGAAAGCGTCAAGGAGCCCGGCCAAGAGGTCGCGAAGCGCGGCCTCCAGGTCACTCTCCACACGACGTCGACGGCCTTTTTCAAGCCCGGCACGATGGTCGACTTCGCCGCCTCCTATTGCGAGACGAATGGTAGGAACGTGCGGAACGGCCTCAAAGCACTCGTCGTCGGTCGCTTGGACGGCCAACTCGTGACCAGGATCAACCGGCTCATCTGCAAGAAGATCGAGGTAACGGTTCGTCGCGGACACGGAGCGCCGCCGCTTAGATTGAGGATCCGCGGGCGAGGCATCCTCGACAAGCGCCCCTGCGACCACCTCTTCATCGCGGACGACGGCGAGACCAACGTCGAGACGTACATGGAGAAGCACTTCGGCGTCCGCCTGCAGTACCCCGACTTCCCCCTCGTCGAGGTCCGCCCCAACATTGTGTACCCTCTCGAGATGCTCTGGATTGACGAGGGGAACAAGTACCTCAAGCGTCTCTCGCCGCTCGAGCAGGGCAGGGCTTCTGACTTCGCGACTCTCCTGTGCGTCGCCTCGCGTTCGAACGTCGAGGACTGGCTGAACTGACCCTCGCGCCCGCCCTCCCAGCCCGCCGCAAAAGCTTGCGGCCATCCTCAGCGTCCGCAGGGACGTCTACCGCACGGTCGTCGAGCCTCAGTGCGTCTTCGTCTCGCCGCTCTCGTAAATCCTTTCGCTGACTTGCCGCTCCGCAGCCTCGCGAGCTTCGGCGTCCAGATCGCCCCGGTGCCGAAGGTGATTCAGGCTCGCATCCTTCCGCCGCCCGCAATCGAGTACAAGGACTCGACCTTCCGCCCGGGCGACAAACGCGAGAAGCAGTGGACGCACGTCGACCCGGCGAACGGCGAGTGGAGGATGAACGTCAGGGGCACTTTCGCCGCCGAGAACTTCATCGCCGGCGCAAGCCTCAGCTCGTTCGTCGTCGTCGTCCCCTCGGAGCGCGACATCCAAGCTGTCGAGACCTGGCTCGACGCCCTCTTCCGCGGCGCCGCCAGCTTCGGTGCGTTCAAACGCTTCCCTCTCGACCCTGACGATCGCTCACCTCTCCTTCGCACGCTTGCAGGCATGGACCTCAAAGATCGCCCCTCGCGGTTCACTCGCGACGTCTTCTTCGTCCGTCGCCCCGGCACCGACCCCGCGCGGACCGTCACTTCTGCGGTCGGGCAGGCGAGGAACTTCTTCGGGAGGACGCCCGACATCATCTTCTGGTGCGTCGTTCAGAACTGGTGGCTTCCCCTGCGACCGCATTGACGCCTGTATTCCACGTTCGCAGGCTTTTCACCGAAGCCAACTCGCCCGACTACAGCGAGTTTAAGCGCTCCGCGACCTGCCAGGGAATCGCCAGTCAAGCCATCCAGCAGTCGAAGCTGCGCACGACGGGCGTGCAGATGATGATGAACTGCGGGATGAAAATCAACGGCAAGCTCGGTGGCATTAATTACCGTCTCGACCGCGACACCGTCGGCGGCTTCCTCCGCGAGAAGACGCCGATGATTTTCGGCGCCGACCTCACCCATGAGCCGGACCAGCCCTCCGTCGCCGTCGTCGTTGCCTCGATGCACGCCGCGAACGTTCGTTATGAGGAGACGATCTCGGTCCAGGGACTTCTCGAGCCGACGCCTGCCGCCGCCTGTACGTCCCTCGAGCTTCCAAGTCGCAGACCTCGCGCTAAAGACCCTCGTTGACAGCCGCGGGTGCCCGACCCAAGAAGCAGGAGATGATCACGAACCTCGAGGAGATGGTCTTGGTGCGTTGACCCGCTCTCGCGACGCTCTCCTCGAACTCAGACTCTGGTCGAACAGTCCCTTCTCCGCCGCCGCGCCCTCTCCCTCTGCGCTCTCCCTCCCGTCTCGATGTTGATGTTCCGCGACGGAGTCTCGGAAGGCGAGTTCGCGACGGTCATCGCCGTCGAAGTCGACGCCTTCCACAAGGCCTTGCGCCGCTTCAAGACCGACGACGAGATGCGCAAGCTCTTTGGCCCAGCGCTCGATGCGTGGAACCCGGAGGTGAGATCACGAGGTTGTTCGGGGCTCATCGCTCACGCTGACGATTGTATGCGTTCGACAGCTCACGGTCATCGCGACGGTCAAGCGTCACCACATCAGGGCTTTCGTCGACGACGGCAGGCAGGTGTCGAACATCCCGCCCGGCACGTTCTTCGACGGCGGCGTCACCGACCCGCGTAGTGCGTGAGCTCCTCGTCTCTCCTCATGCTCGTACTGACGGCTGGGCGCCGCAGGCTTCGATGTTTACGGCGCGGCGCACCGTGCCTTGATCGGGACTACACGCCCTACTCGCTACGTCGTGCTTCACGACGAGCACGGCCTGTCGTGCGTCTGGCTCTCCTCCACCTCCGACAGCTCGCGCTGACGGATCCCACCTGTAGCACCGACGACGTCGAGCAGATCGCCAACTCGCTCTGCCACTCGTACCAGCGTACGAACAAGGCCGTCTCCTTGCCCGCGCCCGTCTAGTGCGTCTAGTCCCTCCGCCATCCTCCTGCTTCAATGCTAATCCTCCCTCTTCCGTTTACCCAGCTACGCCGACCTCATCGCGAAGCGGGTCCGCCCGTGGTTCCTCCCGCACGACGACACGAGGTCCTCGTCCGGCCACAG